GGGGGGGGGGGGAAGGAGGGCCCGTTCCCGGCTAATGGGAGCTGCAGGAGGCGGTACCTGGAGGCAAGGGCAACACACAGAGCCCTCTGTCCCCCTCCCTGCCCGGGGGCTGCAGGCAAGTGGTGCTGGCCGCTTCTGAGATTGGCGTGGGGCCTGCAGCACCACGGGGGGCAATCCTGCGGGCCGACTGTAGTTTGCCCACCCCTGTATTAGACTATTAAAGTGTACCAGGTACTGTCTGCCCCCAATTGGCATCATTCAGATTGTGTCACACCAAGATGTCCCAGATTATATAAATGTATTTGGATCAAATATTTATATCTGACCTTTTTTCATTACTAAGCTAATTTTAAAGATATAGTATTTGCAATATTCAGCTACACTGACATTTTAATGGGTCAAAGGACTGTTAGCATACTAAAGCCAGTTCAGAGGTTCTATAAAGAACCCATAGTTTTTCTAGTGGAGGGCACTCAGCTTCTTTCAACAGACTGTAGAGTACATAACCAGGTAGGCCCCCTTGCCTTGGTATAAATAGCAGTGTAAATAGTGAGGCAAATAAAGACATGCCTGAAGGACACGGGTATGAATCCAAGTATGTGCCCCACACGGCAGTCTACTTGCCCAAGCTGTGCCTCCCTGTCTACACTGCTATTTTTAACAGCCTAGAGTCACGTTGCCTCCCCGTTGCTAGAGCCTCCCCCTGCTTCAGGGAAAGACTCCAGCAGTGGGAAAAGGCTCAGTCTTTTCCCACTGCCTCCACCCTGCCAGGGCCTCTCACTTACAGGTACAGCTATACACTGCAAGCTGGCGTTTCGCTGCAACATATAGCTACACATCCTACACACCACCGCCAGCAGTGTGTGGTGTAGACATAGCCATAGTTCAATCAGGAAGGAGAAATGTTTATCAACTTATTCCAAACCAATGACCTATAATACTGCATTTTTCATTGAAATACATTTGTCAGTTGAGTTAATGAGTTCAATAACTATTAATTATGATCTTAAATAGTAGAGACAAGATGGGTGAGGTAATATTTTTTATTGAACCGAGTTCTGTTGATAAAAGAGACAAGCTTTTCAACTTTACATAGAGCTCTTCCGGTCTGGGAAATGTACTCAGTGTCACAACTAAATACAAGATGAAACAGATTGTTTAGCATAAGTAGCTAACACATAGATACGTGTTAGCTACTTATGCTAAACCAGGGGTCGGCAACCTTTCAGAAGTGGTGTGCCGAGTTTTCATTTATTCCCTCTAATTTAAGGTTTCGCATGCCAGTAATACATTTTAACATTTTTAGAAGGTCTCTTTCTATAAGTCTATAATATATAACTAAACTATTGTTGTATGTAAAGTAAATAAAGTTTTAAAAATGTTTAAGAAGCTTCATTTAAAATTAAATTAAAATGCAGAGGCCCCCGGACTGGTGGCCAGGATCTGGGCAGTGTGAGTGCCACTGAAAATTAGCTCGCGTGCCGCCTTTGACGCGCATGCCATAGGTTGCCTACACCTGTGCTAAACAATCTGTTCCACCTTGTATTTAGCTGTGACACACTGACTACATTTCCCAGACCTGAAGAAGAGCTCCGTGTAACTAAAAAGCTTGTCTCTTTCACCAGCAGAAGTTGATTCAATAAAAAAAATATTACCTCACCCACCTTGTCTAATATCCTGGGACCAACACACATACAGCAACACTAGGTATCTTCAATACTGCCAGATGCATTTTCACTATTTTCGAAATGTTTCAGAAATGTGAAAACTATAACAAGATCATTTTTTGCACATCTAGTTAAAACAGGATTTAAAAATAGAAAGTTATATGCATACCAAAGCTATTGCTCTAAAATTTTACATGTTTTAGGTAATCACTAACTTTTGTGGCTATCGGTAATCTCAAGTTAGGTTCAAATATTCATTCATTGAAGTTTTATTTTAAATATATCAAAATTATATTCACGTAATTTCACAAACTTACAAGATATACTGGGTCTTGTATAACCTTCAGTCTAGGAAACAAAAACAGGCTTGTTTAGATAAGACTTCTTCGCTTAAGACTACATATCACTTAATATTGGTTGTTTCCCCACAGTCCAACTCCTCTGCTGTGCCCAGCAGAAACTTGGGCCCCCAGACAACCCGTCTCACTATACCTTTATTTACCACTACCTATTGCACCACATAATTTTAAATTTAACAAATGCTAAACATTCCCAGGCAACCTTACAAATTAGCACTTGTTTTCTGAAAGAATCAAGTTTGAGATGCAAGAATTTCCTAAGGTCCTACGGTTCTAAAACATAAGCAATTTCAACCCTTTGCCACTATGAATCTTAATGTAATTTACCTAACATTTATCACTGAAACAGGACTGGCTGGACAATTTCTGATTCTAAAAGTTCTAAATTTCTGTGAAAACAGCAAAAAGGTTTTGGTGAAATTTTAAGGAATCCTCCTGATTTTTTGACCATCATTAAGTGAAATATTGACTCAGGAAGATGTATGCTTTCTGAAAGCACTCTGTAAAATTAAACAGAGTTTATTACTTTTTAAAATTAATAATTTAATAGGGCCTAGTGTCTAGTTTGCCAGAACCTAGATATAGAACCAAAGAACAAATTTAGTTGCTAGTTTAAACTTATCCAATTTACCTTATACATTTTCAAACCTTCAGCCTTTTCTATCTCTCTCGCTATCCGTCTGAGAAATGAGACTTTGTCCTCTTTCACACCTGGTGTGTTTTTCTTCATTTTATCTGGAAATTCTTTAGACTGTCAATGAAAAAAGACCATTGAGACCATTTCAATACTAAATCTGACGAGTCATGCTTTTTGGAAAATTTTACAATACCTGTGGAGAAAACTAAACAGCAAGATTTTAGACATTATGGTCCTACATTTCCTCTAGCAGAATATAACTAATTATGATTTAATATGATAATTTTTTATTAGTTTTCATCACTACAGAATTTTAACACTATACAGAACTCAGATAAGACACTTGACAAAAGAAACATGCTTTGTACAATGTCCTAATGGCCACCAGACTTGGGGTCTGATGGAGTTGTTGTGACATGCTTCAGGAGTTTTAGTAGAGAGACCTCAGACTGCTTAGTCCCATGGCAAACACTACTAAAAATTCTTGAACCTTTATCGAAGATATGGAAAAGAAAAGTTTAAAATGTAGCTTATTAAGGCTTTCATTTTAACAGTATCCCTTACTCCTCTTCACTGTAACCATAGAAAGTTTTTCTATGAACCACCCTGGGTATTAAAGATGGGGGAAGATGTGCAGGGAGAAGAAAAAGCAGTTGAGATGGGTTGGAGCTGCTGTTGTTCTTAAAGTCTGATGCCATTTCCTTGAAAACAAAATAAGACAAGCACACATAAAAGAGGAAAGAAAATAATACAAAGGTAGAAAATGCAGCTTCTGTCTTTGGTGTTGATTCTTACTTGCAAATCTCACTACTAGAGAAACACAGGGCCAACACAGTCTTATCAGCCATTCTGAAACTTGTGCCAGCATCGGGTTGTTTAGGGTTTTGCTTATAGCTGTCTCTCCTGGTCCCGGGCTCATAACAGTACTGCAAAAGGAGGAGTTGGCTTAGCCAGCTAAGCCAGACTCTTTTTAGACAAAACACAAAAAGTAACAGATGGGGGTGAAAAAGATAGGGGGAAAAAGGAAAATGACACACATGGGAATGGGTGACAGCAGGAACCCAAGCCTCAGACACCAGGGAGGCGGTGCTGGGGATTTAGCTGTTGGAGGTGACAATGTCATCTAGATCCCCCTCTGTGACAGTCCAATGGTATCACAGTGGACCTGGGCAACCCAGGAGATACTGGAGGTAACAATCACAATCACATAGATTGATCCGTTCAGGCCATTGGTTCTCCAGCCATCTAATGTTAATCTGATCCTTCCCTAAGAGTCTTTTGTTTTGTTTTTTTAAAAAGGACCTCAAAAGGACGTGATGGACAGATTAACCCATCCCCTCATTAGACTATCTATTGAATATAGTTTCCGATACGCCAATTTTGGTCCATTAATTTCCAGTCCCACACTCCTCTTGTTAACCAGACATGATCTACAATCTGTGTGTTATATCGGCAGACTTTTTAAGACTAATCCAATTTTTGGTCTCCTTTACCCACTAAATTTGTTATAAATTATTGGATTATTTTATGAATGTTTATCCACGTTCCTTACAGCTGAGCTCACAATTGGGTAGTCCTATCAGCCCCAAATCACTACAATACAGTCACTGGTGTATAAGACTTACACTAGGGACTAAGAGCAAGACTATATTCAAGCAATAGAGAAGAGGTTGTTTTAAAAACAACAACTGAGTGCTATATCACTTAAAGCTTAAAAAATCATAAATTAACACACTTACACCCAGAAGCCAGTTTAGTACACAGATTTACTGATCACTCTTGGCAATCTGACCTGCTAAAATGACAAGACTTCTCTTAATCCAATAGACAAGAGATCTAACTGAATCAGGAACAACAAATGGGCTTCATCACCATTCGCCAATCATCTGAATACAACCTGTGCCATAACATATTCAATCGCAACTGATGGGGTGCAGAAAACCACAAGTCCGGATATACGGGGAGTTGCCCAAGATTCTCAGTGACCATACCTTAACTAGTTACTGAGCAGATGACCGGCTGTTCACTTCAGTCACCTTTAGATGGCAATGACTCTTCATCATTAGTGTAGCTGGACATAAAATGCTCCCTATCTCATTAGCAACCTCCTGAGCAAACCCTAATCACCACCTGTCTAAATAACAAAAGTAAAAAGGTTGCCATATCTTCTCAATTCATCTATGTTTTGGATTCCTTAGTATTCATCATATATTATTTAGTTCATAATGAGGCCCCTAGGAGCTAATCGCAATATAAACAACTATTTATACAAAAGAAAATTAATAAAATGGTGTAATAGAGTATTTAAGCACTGACTCAAATGGATAAAATTTTACTTACAATATATGCTCTTCTGTGTTTATAGCCACTGAGATGTTCTATCATAGGTGCCATCTCCGTGTTAAATTCACACAGTTTGCATTCATAATGTGGCTCTCTCCTCCCTTCAAATCTGATTTCGACCACATGTTCTAAACCTATAAAATCAAAAGTTACAAGTACTTACATTTCTTTATACAGGCAATTATGAATAAATAGATTCTTATTTCAGCTGTGTAAGGACAACCAATGATGAATCAATGATAAAAGATACTGATCCATTTTAGGTATTTCCTACCTTTCCTCACAATCGCCCATTAAGGATTAGATTTCTTACTGGTAATATTTGTTAGTTCAAGTTTCTCTCTTCACCAGTACAGACTTTTCTCTGAGTAAAAGTTCTGTTCTTGGTAGACTGCCTGTCACAGCAGGATCACAGTACTTCATAACCTAGAATCTTAAGAATATCCAGCCAGAAGAAAAAAAACCAGAGGGTGCACACAAGCACATACCATAAAAGAATAAAAAGGTCAAGCACTGAAAAGTTAGGAAACGCAAGAATTAAGATTGCACAGGAAACCTTAATTCAGCCCCTTTATGCATGTCTATGCAGTCTTTAATTACATGACCTCCCATACCATTTTTCCCCACAGGATCCGTATCTCATTCAATATATAGGATGGACCACGGTTCTGGGGATGTATCAGCATTGTGTAGACCCGAAGACTCTTGTCTGTAGGATCCTGGGAGGTGTGTATTAAATGAGGCAGGAAATCGCAGGAAGGGAAAGATCTCATGGTAAAGGAATTGGAACACCATCCTGGAGAATTGGATTCTATCCCTGCCTCTGCCACAAATTTCTATGTGATGCTCAGCAGGTCACTTAAACCAAACCGCCCTCACGTGGTCAGTTATTTCTCTACCTCATTTTGAAACCCTGGGTTCTGATTTGCAGAAGAGCTGAGCACTCACAGTTGCAACTGAAGTGAATGGGAACTGTGCTTAGAACCTGTACAGTGATATATAATGCTAAGTACTCAGAAAAAACAACAACAATAACAACCACCACCCTAAGTGTCTCAAATTGGGCACCCAAAATTAGTGGACACTTTGGACCTTAATTTCTCTGTGTTTTAGCTCCACATCTATAAAATGGGGATGATAATAATACATCCTACACAGTGAAAATAAATGGTTTGTGAAGCACTCAGATGAGTGCTATAGAAAAGATTTGAGGAAATAATTCTGTTTTCACAGCACGGATTGAAATAGTGAATGTGCAGTAAATAATGGTCTAGGCCCCATATTGAACAAGAGGATAAAGCAAAATACCAAGAAGCTGCTCACTTAACGAGCACCATCCACCCCATGCAGATAATGAGGCAGTGGTCATAAGTAAAAAAAATAGCATATCATCATAGTTCAAGACTATGATAATGCATACGTGCAAGTGAGACGAATTAAGGTTGCACAGGTAACCTGAATTCTTGCATTCCCTGAAACTGTCCCCAGAGTAGCTGGGTTTAGAGGTAGGTGAGACAGGAAATGATCTCTCAATCCCACTGTTTACAACAGTAGCTCAATTTAACCCCAACGCTGAACATTTATTCGATACCAATACCATATAAGGCAGCAGTAAGCCACCAGGGATAGTGATAGTTTTTGCAGGACTGACAATGGGGGTAAACACACATTTTGCACAGCTCAAGAATTCTATTAAACCAGTTAAGAGCAGAACTTCTGTGGAGAAATAATGATCCAAATAGAGGAAACCTACTGCTTACAACAGAGCCCCTATTACTCAATTCAATGTACTACTCAAAGATGCTAGCACTTGCTAGGATCATGGAGGACATTGGCTAGAAGGAAATGATAAACTGACGAAGCTAAGCTCTGCCTAGGAAAAACCATCAAGTAGAGAAAAACTTTAGTATATACCAGTAGATTTAATATTCTCAGCAACATCATGAGGGTAAACAATCATACAGAAAATCCTGGGCTATCAGAAAGAAACGTATATCTGGCTTTTTTCCTGCAGGACCACAGAAAGAACAATGGCACGTGGAGTTCAATGTGTCCCTCTAGAGATGGAGTACTACAGGGATGCGATGCCAAATAATCTACCAGCCTCCCAGAGTAGGTCCCATCTTCAGAGTGAAAGGTCAGACTCGTGAAAGGAGTAATAAAATATTTGCTATTGGAGATCTTCCAAACAGCATTAAATATGGATAATATAAAAGTGATAAACAAAATCTAAAATATTACTTGACTTACACTGGTGATTAAAGTTCAAGTAAAGGGAAGTTGTCTGACTACAAACACAACATACCAACTAGAGGTTCCTCTCTTTTGGGATCTTTCATAAAATCTTTCAGACAGGTTATGTCCTTTGTAAGCTTCCGCTTAACTAGTGTAAACAAAATAGAAATACATATTAGACAGACAAATTACAATTACCATAAGATACTGGACATTTTGCACATAGTTTCATATGACTGAACTGACAAAATGAGTTGCTAGCCAAGCTTTTTGAATGGTCAGTGAATTTTAATTATGAAATATTGAAAAATATTAGTTTACAGTGGAAACTGATTTCCCCTATTAGCAGTGTTCAAATACACAGGATTAAGTCTATAAAAAAATCAAAATAGTTTGTATTAATCATCCAGACTTATCCTGGCATCCCATTTTGTGCGTGAAAAACTGGGAGTTCAATATAGGTAACTGACACATCCAAGTTAATGATTTGCACGCAAAGTTAACAGACATGTTGGCATTTACAAGTGCTTTGACTTGGCTGAAGAATTTTGTGAAGGGCTTTTAAGAAGCTTAGATTTAGATTTCATCAAGCTAAGATGTTCAGGATAGAATCCCAATTCCTAGCAAAGGAAGACCTTAGTATTTTTCAAGATTTTTCACACTACTTTCATTTAGGATTGATAAAACTGCTCAAGGAAGGATCAAAATAATCCAACAGTTACTCTGTCCTGGATTCGTTGGTCTGAGAAAATATCCTCAAGCAGTGTTTACATATGCAACCATTTTAGGAAGATGTCTGTATTAAACATCCTTGCGTAATAAAAAACATATAGGATAATACTTGAACAAAAAAGAATGCTCTAGTAGTACATTCAGGTTCTGCTGGACAGAGATTAAGATCAGGATTCAAACTGATCCTCCTAAAATCAACACAATGTGCTATCACTAGACTAAGGTTTTGTTTGCTTATTTTACAGATTTACATCTGAGTAACTGCATGATGCAAGTACATGCCACAATGAAAAAATATTAAAAAGCAAAAGGTGCCAAAGCCACATTTAAAATATTTTCTCTTCTTTGCTGACATTATGCACCTTCTTAAAAGAGGCAATTTCCATAGTTAGATTTATTCAGCATTACTACAAAATCCAGTTTTTGTTAATATTATGGGGTTACAGTGAGACAATTGGTGAATCAGGCATCCACAGGGTGGATTTATTTATATCAACAATTTTAATCATGATTTAAATCAGCAATTTCAATCATGTTTTTCATTTGTACTTTTTAGTTTGATTGGTAACCATTAAAACATGTTGATTTGCAACTAGATATAGCTTTTGTGTTAAATTTGGTGCTTCTTTTTGCTAGCCAGGAGAATACAGTATATTTATAAACCTTTATTTACATAGATTAATTTACATTTATTCAGATTCAATTTTTACATTTTTTATTATGTTAGAAAATAGGGAATGATGCATTTCTTTTTTAATAGATTAACTTTTTACTTGTGATTTGTGTCAAGCTCTATTTGGAAGGAAATTCAAATTCAGTTAAAAATGCAAAAATTAATTTTATTACATATAACTACCTTTGAAAGTGCTGGATATATGAGAAAAAAAGTTCATCAAAAGACATATTGCCTTTAAAAACTGATTTATTACACAAAAGGAAGTATTACTGGTAATTGGTGAATTGAACTGAGTGTTTCCAATCACTATGTCCTTCGAGATTTTAGAACTAGTAGATCTCACACCTAGTTTTTATTCATAGAGCGGAAGAGGAAAACAAGCTTTCCTGCTTTTTCAGCATGCAATTGTTTTTTTTTGTAACTGAACTAGCTGAATAAACTGATGTCAAGAAAATATTCTGACCTGCAGAAGCAGCTACTGATGTCAAAATTTGGTTTAGCATTCAAACTCTGGTTCACATTATTTCAACTGTGATTTCCACTAGTTCAGTGGTTTGACTTTCTTTAAAGCTTGTCAGCAAATGTGTATTAAATATTTTTTGTATTTAATTATTTTAATAATTTAGGCCTTAACATAGGCTGTCAATTTCAAATTTAATTTTACATGTTTATATTAAAAAATAAACTTGTATTTAGTTTAAATAAAAAAATCAAATTTAATTAAAAAACCCCAACATTTTTTATTTAATAAAACCACAGTTTTTTTTAAATCTACCCTGGGCACTTGGACTAAACTTATCATAAAGAAAGTTACTTCTTTCAAATCTCAGGAAAGTAAAACAGTATTACAATAATGGTAGTTTAGTAAATGCTATTTCCCCCACCCCACCCCAAGGATGCCAGAGTACAGTCATGATTAAGCTAAGTAAACAGAAAATGGGATTTAAAAAAAAAAAAAAACAACCTTCTTAACTCCATTACAGGGATGAATTATCTGTGCCAACAGAAACAAAATCCAGGCTCAGGTAAGAGAAAGTTTTACCAAACTTGCACACATCTGCTGGAGGATTCAAACAACAGCTTGAGCTACAAGTCATGCTCTGTATCACAGGTTGCAGGAACGTCCCAGATTTGACAAGGTTTCCTTCAATCAGAAGTCTCATATTTTGCTATGTTTTTCAGAGATTCTTAAAATGAACAAGTTAGCCATTGCATGAAGCACTGATGGTCAGAATGTTTGATAGTGCACAAGTGGAGTTGTCTCTTCCTAAAACTTAAGACTATCTTCATGAACTTTGGACTCTGACCATCGAAACAAAAATTTTGTTTTCTAGAAGTGTAACTCAATGGTTCTCTACTGGGGTCCATCCAGGGCCTCCTGGGGGGCTGCAGGCAGGTTTCAGGGGGTCCACCAAGCAGGGCCAGCATTTGACTTGCAGGGGCCCAGTGCAGAAAGACAAAAACCAACCATATGGGGCTGAAGCCCAGGGCCCTGAGCCCTGCCACCCAGGGCTGAAGCTGAAGCCTGAGCAACTTAGCTTTGTGGAATCCCCTGTGGAGCCTTGGATAAGTGCCCTGCTTGCTACCCCCCCCCACACCCCACCCACACACGCTGGCCCTGGTTTTTATATGCAGAAAACCACTTGTTACGGGACCGGTGGGCTGTGCAGTTTTTATAGCACGTTGGGAGGACCTCAGAAAGAAAAAGGTTGAGAACCCCTGGTGTAACTCATGTTGAATGTATTCATTTATATTCAATTTTCTTACCTGGTCTCTGTGTTTCATATATCACTGGAGCAGGAGCACCTAAGATAACATTATTTTGACAGTTATTTGTCTTTCTCCGCATAGCAGAACAGACACAGAAAATAAAATAGATTTAAAGCGATGTCTCCCTTTATTCTATGTACCTAACGTTTTCAATTTAACCTCACTAACAATATTGTTCCATCTTGGTATTTGATCTTTTGCTTTTGTATCTTTTCAATTCCTATTTTTATCAACAATTTTTTTTAAAGTGTTCACCTAAAAATTTCATTACTTCCCCTGCCAGACAAAACATCAAGTATGGATCACAGAAATATTAACTAAAAAATTTCTTTGAAAGTTTAACTACAAAAATTCATTAATCTGTGTTACTCCTATTCCAGTTATTTTCATTATTTAATATTTGTTATGGCAGCTTTGAAAAGCCACAACTAGGATCAAAGCCCAGAAGCAGTTAGGTCCTGAAATTGCATCCATGATGGGGGAGACCCCTTGTACTCATGGGAAACCCTATGCGGGTTCCAAGTCTATCCCATAGATCTGATTACGCAATCAGGCCTTATAGGGCTTTTTCAGATATTTTCATGCTTGGCAGTGTTACTTTTGCAGAGTTACTTTCCCCCTTCCTGTGCCCCTCCCCAGTCCTCCACATGCTCAGTTGTCCCCTTATAAATACCCAGTATAAAGCTAATTTATGGCACACATTTAAAAAAAAAAAGCCCTAAGAAGAGTATCTGGTAAAGTTCAATATACGGTATTAAAATACCCCTTTACTGAAAATACTAAAAGTTCAACCTAGACTATAAAGCTCCTGGGTCAAGTGTCTGCCTTAAAACTGATGTAAAATTCCATATTAATTTTTTTATTACCATAGGCTTATAGCACACTAATGACATTAAGGGAACCCTGTGCTGTGAGCAGTACTGGTTCGCTCTGGTATCTGTACCAGGTAAGTAGTTCAAGAATAGATTATAGTGGATTTCAATATCAAACTTGTGTAAATTTGTTGTCCATTTCAAGACACTGTGCTAGTGTTTAAATTTAACAAAAGGAAAAAATGTTTTAACCAGATTTCTTCTTAGAATAATCATGTCTCCCATTTGGCTGAGTCCACCACACCCCTAAACCATCTCTCAATGAAATGGGAATTAGACTTGGTAATCATGGTTTCTGGGCTAAATCATAAAACATACAGTACCAAGTCCCAAAAATATTTCTAAGATGCTAAGTTATAACAAAACTAAAAAAAGATTTAGAAAGGGAACATACTGTATTTCAAGTTGTCCTTTCATCCAGTATCACTCATCACCTGAGATCCAACTTAGGTTTCTTTAAAGAAACCCTTCAATATTTTATGGTCATATTAGTCAACCCAATTAGCTTGACAAACTAGTCAAGAACAATCTTTCCTTTTGAGCGCAATTATCTCCACTACGCCTCAGGAGAGAAAGCTTACCAGCTATGTGCAACAAGTGAGATTAAAAAACTATTAAAGATAACCCAACACCACACTATTGAATTACCTTATATACCATATATAACTGTTCATTAGCCTGTTCGTTTACAAGCTGATCCCCCCAAATGGATAGGTAAAAATAGCAAAAACTGTTTGACCCTTTCGTAAGCTGACCCTATATTTCAGGGGTTGGAAAACTTTGGCTCCTGGCCAGTCAGGGTAAGCCGCTGATGGGTCGGGACGTTTTGTTTACTTGGAGCGTCTGCAGGCATGGAGCCCCTCAGCTTCCTGTGGCCACGGTTCGCCGTTCCCAGCCAATGGGAACTGCAGGAAGTGGCGCAACCTATTCGATCAGGGACTGGGAACTGTTAAACACCCTGGCGGGCC